TGCGGCCCCCATACCAACGTGATCGAGTGGGGGGCGCTGGGTGGGCGGGGAGGTCGGAGTGGGGGGTAGGGGTAGGCTTCGCCTGCGGCCCTCTACGAGACAGGATTGAGTGGGGGGCGCTGGGTGGGCAGGGAGGTCGGAGCGCAGGGCGCGCCCCCGCGGAGGCACCCATAGGGCTCGGACCCCCCCCCCCCTGGGATGTGCAGCTCCCGGGAGCTGCGCTTCGCGACAGCGGCGCTTGGCACCGTCGCGGCAGTCTGGGCGAGCCCGGCCTTGGCATCGCTCGGACGTGGGCATTTTGCCGCCGGCGAGGGCCATCGAGGAGCATCCTTGATCATCTGGCGAAAAAAACACGCGCGAAACCCAACAAAAAAACAGGAAATGGACGTCCGAGCGATGGCCAGTGGCGCGGTCCCGTGCAATCGCGCTGTAATCGACTAGACGTAAGAGAGGCCTTTCGCCGGAATGACCGCTGGTGCGGGCCCACTGGGTTCCCCATGGTCGCCACACGCGAGGCGAATAGTGGCGTCTTGGGCGCTTGTGCTTGGTCCCCCGGCGGTCCCCAAGTCGCTGCGCACCAAAGGTCGCTCTTACCCGGGGTCACTCTTGCGCGTAGCCGATTTCATCCTGGGCTCGTTCCTCACCACCCACCAAATCACCCCAACCCAACCCGAAGGCCTCAATCTGCCCTCCATTTCCAGTGGTGGCGGGGGTCGGGGAACACCGACAAAAACACACACGGAGCCCATACCCCCCCCCAGCCCGAAAGTCGGGCCTTCGGGTTGGGCTGGGGTGGTCTGGTAGGTAGTCAGTTCCGGCTACAGACTTGGCGAAGTGGCCCGTGGGGAGCGGGCTCCGTCGCCCCCTCATGTCGTCGCTCTCGCGGAGGCCTCCCAAAAGGTCACTCTTACCCAGGGTCACTCTTGCGTGTATAGTCGATTTGATCCTGGGCTCGTTCCGGCTACAGACTTGGCGAGGTGGCCCGTGGGGAGCGGGCTCCGTCGCCCCTTCCCATACCCCCCCAACCCGAAAGTCGGGTCTTCGGGTTGGGTTGGGGTGGTCTGGTAGGTAGTCAGTTCCGGCTACAGCCGTGGGGAAGACAGCTGAGGCGAGGAGAGGACTGGAGGAGGAGGAGGAGGAGGAGGAGGAGGAGGAGGAGGAGGAGGAGGAGGAGGAGGAGGAGGAAGTCGCCCCTTCAGGTCCTCGCTCCCGCGGCCGCCCCTCCCAGGAGCTGCCCCGCGAGCCTCCCCCGCGGAGCTTTTCCCCGCACTCCCTCTGCGGCGCCCGCGCGCGCCCGGCCGCGGCCGGCGGGCCCGCGGTGGAGCCCACTCGGCGGCCGAGCGGGTTCGCTGCGCGCCGTGGCGTCGAGTTCAGGAGGGAAAAAAAAACACACAGACACAATGCATCGTCGATTCCCCCAGAAAATATGGAACATATAAGAAAATATGGGAAGTGGGGGGGAAGACAAAAACCTAGAAGATATGGAAAAGATGGGGAATCCTGTTATTTCCGTCTATTTACGTGTGTGTTTCGGGGCCCCTTCATCGAAGCGGAGCACGTTCGTCGGCCGAGCGGGGTCAGACGCCGAATGGGCTCAGAGAGGACCCCTGGGGTGGAGGCGGCGGCGGCGACAGCGCCGCTCGACGACGTCCGCCCGGAGGCCTCTAATTAGATCGGAGGTTGATAGACCTCCTACCCTGACACGTCGATTAAGGAATTGGCCGTTTTCGGTTCGCGGCAGGGCGTCGCGGCCGTCGTTTTGCGGGTCCGGGTCCGTCGGTTTCGGTCCAAGGCCGTTTTCACTGAGGGGAGGTTTACTGAAGGGAGGTTTGTCCACCGCCGATTAGAGGCCTCTGGAAGCCTCCAGGTGCCCAGAAGAGGCCAACGGCATCTAAGGACAGCTCGGCAACCGAGCCTCGAGCCTCGAAGTGGGGGCGGTCTGTTCGGGCGGCTCGGCCGCCTCCACCCTGGCCAGCCTTCTTCGAGCCGCGTCCGGCCGTGGCCACTGGGAGAGTCCCCGAAGGCAAAAGCCCAGGGAAAGAGGAGGGGCACAGGTGTTCAGCTCGCCCTCCCAGATTCAGGAGGGAAAAAACACACAGACAAAATCCATCGTCGATTCCCCAGAAAATATGGGAAAGTATGGGAAGTGGGGAGAAGACAAAAAACCTAGAAAATATTTGAAAATATGGGGAATCCTTTTATTTATGTTTATTAATTTGTGTGTCCCAGGGCCCCTTCACAGATCCGGCGCTGGGATTCATACATTCGATGTCCTGGAAGATCGGATCCCCAGGCAGCGGAAATGCGTACAGTCAACCCGCAGAGTAAGGATGATGGACTTTCCAAGGTTACACTTGCACCCTTCCCCTTCGGCCCATCCTTGGACCCTTTCGCTGGCAGCGCCCCGCTCGCAAAGTGTCGGCATTGCCTTCCAAGGCCCTTGCATCCTTCTCGTGCGTCCTTGTTTTAGACTGAGCTGCCCGCCTCCGATATTGGAGGGGAGAGGCGGACACACGAGGAGGAGGAGGAGGAGGAGGAGAGGAGGAGGAGGAGGAGGAGGAGGAGGAGGAGGGGAAGAGGAGGAGGGGGAGGAGGAGAGGAGGAGGAGGAGGAGGGGAGGAGGAGGAGGAGGAAGAGGAGAACGAGGAGGAGGAGGAGGAGGAGGAGGAGGAGGATGGTGCAGTGGAGGGTGGGAGGGAGCAGCTGCACCGGGGCGCCCCCACGCTCACCGGGCCTCACTCCGCCCCTCCGCTCCGCCTCCATCATTCCTATCATTCCTCTTCCCCTCTTCCCTCTCCTCTCCCTCTCCTCTCCCCGCGCCCCACAGTTACTCAGTATGAATACTACTCTCCTCCTTCCCCTGATGACGGGTTGGGAGTGTTCGCCCCCCCCCCTCGCGTACTGTTTTTTACGCAGGATTCCCAGGAGTTGGGTTTTCGCCTGCATTTTTTTTTCAAAATGCTGCTCTCGCTGAGGCGCCGGCCTCATTTTCGGGCCCCGCTCGTTCCGAATCGTGCTCCCGCTGCAGCGCTGGCCTCATTTCCGTGCTTCCGCTCGTTCCGAATCGTGCTCCCGCTGCAGCGCTGGCCTCATTTCCGCGCTTCCGCTCCTTCCGAATCGTGTTCCCGCTGCAGCGCTGGCGTCATTTCCCGTGCCATGCCACGGCATGCAATGCAATGCTAAGATGCGTTCCGCTGCGCGATGCTATGCCTTCAGCTGAAGCTGTGATATGCAGTGCTTAAGTGCCACGTCGTGCTATGCCCTGCTACGCTTTGATCTTCAACGCCATGCTATGCAATGTTATGTTCGGGGCCGCTGTGCGATGCCACGCTTTGCGTTGCAAAGCTTTGTGATGCAATTCTTCACTACGCCACGCCACGCCATGCTGTGACATACTACGCTTGACGGTGCTCTTCTACGCCATGCCATGCCGTGCTCTACAATGCATCGCGTACCCTTTCGGGATCATTGCCTTGCTCGACATCCGACTGTGCGAGTAGAGAGGGGATCTACGCCAGGGTAAGGGATGGGAGGGAGGGGTAGGATGTCAGATATGACGCGAGCGCACCTAGCTTGTCTCCCTCCCCCTCCTTTCCCTCCCTCATCACTCATCCCTCGCCCCCCCACCCCGCTCCGCCTTCGCCCTCCCCAAGAAAGTGGCAAAAGGGGCAGCTGAAGAGACCCGACAACTTGCTTGGCCCCTTCGTGTGCGTCGTAGCTTCTTTGGCTTCGGAATTCCGACACGCCTAGGGGGAGCCCATCTTCCGATACCTACGGGGCTTGGTCAGGGTTACGCGCAAGGGCGACCCTTCGCTGGAGTGACCTTTGGTGCGGGCCCGTATGGGTCCCCCCCCAGCACTTGCCTGCCTGGATTTGCACCCCAAAGTCCCCCAAAATCGGCGCACCAGAGGCCACTCTTGCCTAGAAGGGCCACTCCCTGCCTATAGCCGAAGTCTTTCCTGTCGCAGCGTGGCTCCACAGAGGTCGACGAGCTCTTCAGCCCGAGTCGGTTTTTTAACGGACCCAGAGCTTAGTCAGGGCCCCCACTGTCCGATAACCTGGTTACGCGTAAGGGTGACCACCCTTCGCTGGAGTGACCTTTGGTGCGGGCCCGCAGGGGTCCAGCACCGGCCTGGATTTGAGCCCCCGCGGCCCCCGAAGTCGGCTTTCCAGAGGTCACTCGTGTCCAGAAGGGCATTTCCTTGTGCATTTCCGCAAAACCAGACATCCGACGACGTGTTTTGGCTTTTCATCCCGAGTCGTCTCTTGACGGGCCCCCGCCTGGGCCTCCACAGGCGGAAAATCTGACTGCGTGCCAGAGCGACCCCTCGGTGGAGTGACGTCTGGTGCGGGGCCCGCAGGGGGTCCCCACTCACCACAGGACTGCGCGCCTGCATTGCTCCCCCCCCCCCCGCCCCGCGGCCGTCTTGAGCCGTGCGCCAGAGGCCACTCTTGCTTGCAAGGACCACTCTCTGCGCGTATATATCCCAGAGCGGCGAAGGGCTCCCGCCCTAAGTTCACGGTGGGGCCCCTGGCCGAGGAGGCTGCCGATGGGCGGCCTCGGACCCTGGGGGGCCCTCCCCACCGCCGTTCGACAGCGCGGCGGTGGCATCCGTGGCCGAGCCACGGCTTGGAGTCCCACGCGCCCCCAGGCCCTGGACTCCTCGGCCGAGGGTGCCTCATCTGAGGGGCCACTTGCGAACCCTGCCCCGACCCCCCCCCTCGATTCCTGAGGGGGAGGGTGGGCTTCGCCTCGCCCGGGAGCTCCAAGAATTAAAGTGAACCCCACCCTCCCCCTCAGAAGTCGTGGGGGAAGCCTTGAAATTTTAAGACTCTTATTTAAAATAAGCCTTTCTTTAAGATGGAAAAGTAAAAAGTTAACGCAAGTGGCCCCCTATCATCCCATGCCTCCAAGCGCGCCCGCTCCGCAGCGCGCGGGCGTCTGGGTCCCGCGCCGCTCCCCTCCGGGGGCCCCCGGCCCCCCTCGCTCTGGCGGCCCCCCCCCGGCGCAGGCAGGACGTGGACGCGCTGCGGGAGGCGCTGACCCAGCAGGCGCCCGCGCGCCCCACATGCACAGGGGCGGGGGGAGCGCCTCTCGCTCGCCGGCGTCGTGGCGCCTGCGTGCCGGCAGCCACGTCCCTCTGCGCGCTCCCGCCTCCCGCCGATCCCCTTCGGCCCGGCGTCCTTCCCCCCTCCAGGAGGAGGAGGAGGAGGAGGAGGAGGAGGAGGAGGAGGAGAGGAGGGAGGAGGAGGAGGAGGAGGAGGAGGGAGGAGGAGGAGGAGGAGGAGGAGGAGGAGAGAGCTAGGAGGGGGAGGAGGGGGAGGGGGAGGAGGCCGCGGCCGCTCTCTGCTCCTGCGCCCGCCCCATGGCGTGCATGGCGTGCACGGTGCCCGGCGCGGCCCGGCAGCTCTGCAGGCGCGCGTGCGTCCGCCAGCACCGGCGACAAAAAAAGAGTCTGTGGCCACGTCGGCGCACCTGCCTCCCTCCTCCAACACCTTCTCGTAGATCTCGAGTAGGGAATCGACTACGGGTCGTCGAAAATGCGTATTCTGTGTGGTCGATCTACGAACCTGTTGTTTTTTTCCTCGCAGGTTCGACGAAGAAATAAGACTGAATAAGATTGTGGTAGGTTGATCATATCGTCGACCCCCGACTCCCAGAACGTGCAGTGGATCTTTTCTGGAACACGTCCGCTGCCTCGCCCACTCCGGCAACAAAAGCCTGAGGCTTCCGGCACTCTGGCGCCCCCTCCGGGCTGCAGGCTCTTGCAGGGCCGTGTGCCCTGAGACGTTGACCGGCGCCTCGCCTCGGCCGGAAGCAAAAGGTGTCGCCGCCACCTAGAGCTCGTCCGTGAAAACTCCTCCCACCCGTTCGGATGCAACTCCTGGGAGGTCAAATTCTGATTTTGCCCTGGTCCGAAATCCCGCCTAATCCCGCTTAATCCGGCTAGATCCCGCTTAACCCCGTTTCATTCCCGCTTAATCCGAGGCCCAATCCGGCGTAACAGCCTCACAATGGGGCGCAATCCTCTTGAATCCCTCCGACGAAAACCTCCCAGCAGTTGCCTCCCAACACCCGGGCCCCGCCCCCAGCCCCAAGTCCTCCCCAGACCCTCCAGGATCCTCGGGCGGCCCCGGGTCGGGCCGAGGCTCGGAGCCCTCGGGGCCTTCGGCAGGGAGGGGGGTCCGCGGGGCTGGTCGGCAGGGGTGGGGGAAGCCCGGCTCTGGCGCTGGGCGCGGTGCAGCTCCATCGCATGCTCGGGGTCCTGGCCGTCTGCCCGAACTGTGCGCCTTTGCGGCCCACGCCGCCTGGCCTCGCGCGCGCACCCGGCCAGGCCGCGCCAGAGCTCATGGAAAGTTTGGTCGGCACGGGGGGGTGCCGTCCTTTTCTGGGCGTACTCGTCTGCCGCTCTGTTCGCTCGCAGCTCCCAATTCGACTAGACGTAAGAGTGACCTTTCGCTGGAGTGACCTTTGGTGCGGGCACAGGTGGGTCCCCAGATGGCCGAAAACGAAGCAGGAGCAGCGGCTTGCGCGCCCGGTTTGGTCCCCCGCGGCCCCCAAAAAGCCGCGCACCAAAGGTCACTCTTACCCAGGGTCACTCTTGCGTGTAGCCGACCAATCCGTGGTGAGGCCCAGCTCCGCATCTGCGCGCGCGCACAGGTGCTCGTCTTGTGCATGCTTGTGTGTCGACGACTGGGACGATGCCCAAAGTTGGCTCCAGACATGCGCACGCTGGTCCCTGCTGTCCGCCGAACCCCCTCCCCTCGCCACACGGTGCCTACTGCGCCCGCGCAGCCGGCATGGTCAGCGAAGGGGGGCAGAGCTGCTTGCGCCAGCCTATCGATAGCGCAGTCCTCGGCGTCTCCTTCGCCGTTCGCCGTGGAGCGGCAGCGGTCGGGGCAGGCCCATGCGCTGCAGCCTTGACTCGACCGAGCCCGTCCACCTGGACCTCCGCCCAGCCAGCACGGGCCAGGTGGGGGCATCCAGCCCACAGGGCCGAGCCGTCTGGTGAGCAGCATGCCAGAGAAGAGGCCACATTCAGGTTTGTTGTGCCACAGGATGGTCTGCTCGGGCTCCTCGGGGACCTCCAGCAGCTCCACGGGGCTCGCGAACGGGCCCCGCGCGAACCTCTCCCCCACTTCGAAGCCCCAGTCCCTGACCCTAGCAGCACGAGTCTTCAAGAAAGCCGACGCACGTTCCCGTCGACGTAAGTATTTCCAGACAGGGCAGCGGTAGGCCCCGTGCCATGAGGACCCATCAGAGTTCCCGTATCTCTGACAGTTCCCAGGCGATGCTAGCCCGTGCTTGAACAGCTTGCATTGCGGCCAGTGGCCCCCCGAGATGAGCGACCTGAGGGACCTCCGGTGCCTCTTCGTCCAACTCTTGGCTGTCGAGACTCGACGCGAGGGGGGGCCCGACTCTTTCCAGAACACCGGCTTGCAACAGGGCGCAGAGGGGCCTCAGAGCGCACCTTTTTCTGCAAGACCCTTGATGAGTGCTGGGTGTAGCGTTTTCCGCTCCAACTTCTGGCCCTGGGCCGCGACGAGGGCATCGCAAGAGTCGAGTCGCCACCCGATCCTCCGCGCCCTCCATGCACGTCTGCAGCGCGCCGGACTTCAGGAGGGGCTCCCGCGTCGCCTGCGCCCACTTGAACACGACCCGACCCATGTACAAGACGAGCGGGCCCGTCCTGGGGACTTCCCTGTGACCGTGCAACCGCGACCCTATGGAGGAGGAGGGAGGAGGAGGAGGAGGAGGAGGAGGAGGAGGAGGAGGAGGAGGAGGAGGAGGAGGAGGAGGAAGAGGAGGATCGCGATTTTTTCTGGGACCTCTCCGAGGCTGCTCCGGGCTCCAAGACGCAGGGCGCACCTCCTCGACGGCGTGCCCCCGCGGTGCTGGAGCCCCACGGGGCCGAGGCCGTCTTGGGCCCGCCCGCCGGGCCCGCACGGTGCTGGCCCCCGCGCGCTGAAGTTGACGAACCCTCCTTGATGGGCTTGTCATCCACCGCCACCACCACCATAAGTTGGAGGAGGAGGAGGAGGAGGAGGAGGGGGAGGAGGAGAAGAACCCCCCCCTCCAACTTATGGTGGTGGTGGTGGAAAACAGGCCCATTACTCCTGGCTCGACCTGCAGTTGCCACTACTGCTTGGGCCAACCTGCGTCGCCCCTGTGCCATAGTCACATGGTCATAGGGCTGAACGCCAAGAAAGACCACTGTGACGCGAGAGTCTCCAAAGACGCCAGGGCCAGAGCGGGAAGTGAGCCCTTCCGGACGAGCTGCTTCCCATCCAGAGTTGGTGCTCCCGACCCCCTTGGCAGCACCCAGGAGCGCAGCCGTCCCGAGGTTTCTGGCCGAGGTCTCCCGACTGCTTGGGGAATGTCCCAGGCCTGTTGCGACCTCTCGTCTGGTCCCACGCTGCTGCACGGGTACTTTGCCTTGCTCGAGACCGGCAGCCCGAGCCGCTCGAAGCTGGTGAGCGGGGCCCTCGCGTCAGCTGGCTGGGAGATCGCGACATCTGGCGGGGCGACGATCTGCACCGCTGCGTCGTCTATCGCGCTTCTGACGCCGAGCTGGGGTCTCCAACATGGGGCTGGGATAAGCGGGCCCAGCAACAATCAGTTAGCGAGCTCCGCCGCATCTGAACACCCTGCGACCACCGTAATGCAGCGAGCGCTCTGCAGCACACATCGCGCACAGTCCCCGCAACAAACGCAAGTTGAACGTTTGGTTGACCGCAGCATTGTGCACGTCTAGGTTTGTTATGTGCTCGTCGACTTTTTGGTGTTCAACCGCGCTGTCGCCGTCGCCGCGCCTATGCAATGCCCGCTCACATGTTGAGTCGGGGCCCAGGGCCCAAACAACTTGGGTGGGATGCTCCGCGTCCCGTCGCATCCAGAGAGGTCGACGGCACTCCTGTCAAACCTTCATGCAAAAAGATTGCAGCCCACTTTGCCGTACTCCTCCATCCGGTTTGTCCAGGAAAATGATAACCACTGGGTTTGGGGGAGGTGCCGAATTCTTTTTTTTGAATGGGGGGGCAGAAATAGTATTACTACGTCGGGCCTGTCCTTCCACAGGGGGAATGTTCAAAAAGAGTCCCAACATAGTCTGGGGACGATTTTTTAGTTCTTCATTTCAAACATGTGAGGGCATGGGTTGGCTTTTATTTTTCTTCCAAAACCCCCCTGTGGGAGGACAGGCCCGACTAAAACATAGTAATGTTTTTAAGTGTGGGGCCTCAAATTCTTCGAACAACACCAGACAACAAAACCAAACACTCGAGTTGGGGGTCACTCGGGACACCGAAAAACAGCTAACAAACCTCCGAGTCAGGTTTTTTTCTTGTGGCTTCCCCAGAAGAACAAAAGAGAAAACACCGAGTTGGGAGGCTTTTCGGCGGTTTTCGTAAGGGCTCTCAAAAATAGGTTTGCTTTAAATCGTGGGGCCCCAGAACCTTCCAAAAACCATTGAGAAACTCCCGAGTTGGAGGGTTTCCTGTCGCTTTCCGGAGGGAAGTGCGCAACTAATATTGGCTTTTACGTGTGGAGCACCAAATCATCGACAAAACCACAGAAGCATGTCAGAGTTGTTTTGGTTTCCCGTGGTTTTCCGCGGGAAGTCAAAAGTAGTATTGTTTTTTTATGTGTGGGGTCCTAGAACTTCAGAAAATAAAAACATTGAACAACCAAACAGGCTTGGGGGTGTTTTCGGGGGTTCTCCTTTCCATAACCTCACCCGGAAGACAATATAACATTTCGAGAGAAACCGTACACATTCCCTAGATGGGATGATTCTGGGTGGTTTTCAGAACTAGTCTTTTTTAACATGTGGAGCCCCAGAAGCCCCCGGAAAAATACCGAGTTGGGGATTTGTTCGGGGGTTTTCCATGGGGGGTAGAATTATTGTTGTTTTTTATTGTGGGATCACAGAGCCGTTGAACAAAAACACGCGACAAGAAACACCGAGCAAACTTGGAAAAAACACCGAGAGACCCCCCGAGTTGTTGTTTTTGTCGGTGGTCCCCCCCGCCGGAAAATCTGTGAAAAACACAGACACGAAAAACATTAAGTTTGGTTTTTTATCGCGGGTTTTCCGGGGGATTTCTGAAATAGTATTGTTTTGGGTTGTGGCGTCCCAGACCCCCCGACAGAAAAACATAACAACACAAGAACCAAATTCGAGTTGGAGGGTTTTTCGGGGGGTCCCCCCCCCGGAAAAACAAGCCAACACATACAGAAAAACCATCGAACAGTTCCAGAAATAATGAAAAAACATAAACACCCTCGAGTTGGGGGGTTCCCGGGGGGGCTAGCACGAAATGTGATTTGAAGGGGTTTGCCCGATCGCTCCCAAGAACCGCCCGAAAAACAACCGAAAACCGGTCAGATTGTTAGGTGTTTTTGTTGTCGGTGGTGTTCTTTCGAAGGTTTTGACGGCTTCTGTTTAGAAATAATATTATTTTCAAGTGTCGGGCCCCGGAAAACCTCCAAAACCTTCCCAAGCTCCCCCCCCTCCCTCCCCGGGGAGCTGGAGGGAGAAACCCTTGAATAACCCCCGAACTCGAAGGTTTTTCTGTGGTTTCTCTGGAATTTCCTTGGAATTCTCACACCGGTCTCGAGGAAGTATCAGGCGGGAGCCGTTGTTGAGTTCTCATTCGAGAAGAATATAATGATTGTTGATTCCCCCGCCGGTGCTCACTGTGTCTGTTCAATTGAACTGCCCCCCTCGGGGCTCGCACCCTGTTTTTTATACGGGAAAGGAGTCATGTCAAACTGTATTGTTGGCCCCCCGACTACAAGAAGAATAGCTCCAGCCTACTTTGTCCTCGCAATGTATTGCAACATCGCGCTCTTGCGCGGGCTTCCTCGCAAATGATACAGAATTTCTGCGCAATGTATTCAGACGCCGCGCCTTCGACACCGAGGAGTCAACTCTGGCTTTGGCCTGTTTCACGACTCACTTGGGAATCGTGCTTTCCCCTGACTGCCTCGCGATGCATGCAGGACGCCCGCTTCCGCAACCCGCCCTGTCGACCCGCCTGGGCCCGCAGTCCCGACCCGCCCGCTGGGTCTGCCCGCCTGGTCTGCCCGCCTGGTGCTGCCGCATGTTTTCGTCTCCTCGCCCCCTTGCAAAGGTATCTTGACGAGATACATCTGCACAAGATAATATTGTGCTCCATCCTTCTTCCTGCCTCTTCCATCCGTCCTCTCTACAAGATAATATTGTGCTCCATCCTTCTTCCTGCCTCTTCCATCCGTCCTCTCTTCCCTGTGTCAGGGGCTGCGCTACATGCGCGTGGCAGGTAGGAACGCTAGACCCCCAAGGGGGCACGATCGAAGACGAAGAGGGCGGGCACTGAGGGTTTGGGATGTACAGGTTAAATGATACGCGAGCAGATTGGAGCGAACAGTCTTAGAAATATTGTTGTTGTTGTTGTTGTTGTTGTTGTTGTTGTTGGTGGTGGTGGTGGTGGTGTTGTTGTTGTTGTTGTTGTTCGGGGCCCGACATCGCAGTTTGAGGACGAGGACGTTCCCTTAGGCAATAACAGGGTGCGAGCCCCAAAGAGGCATTTTAAGTGAAAAACAGAATGTGCACTAGTTTGGGATCAACAGTCCTTATTCTTCAAGAGTGAGGGTTCAACAACCAGTTTAAGACTATTCGCTCTCATCTGCTCGTGTATCATTAAGCATGCACATCAAACCCTCAATATCCTCCCTTTTCTTCTTCGATCGTACCCCCCCTCTAGGGGCATATCTTTCTTACCCGCCACGTGTCGTTGGCGCAGCCCCTAACAGGCCAGGGCAGGGAGGAGGGAAGGGACAAGGGAGAGGGAGAAGGATGAAGCATGAGAGAGATTGGCAGGCGGGGGATTAGGAACAGGGAACACACGGCAGAACCAGACGGGCGTGTCGGGCGGGCGGACCCGAGAGGAGGGATCGGGCGAGCGGGCCCAGACGGCCGGGTCGAGCAGGCGGGTCGCTGAAGCGTGAGTCCTGCATGAATCGCGAGGGGGTCTCGAGCGATAGTGTGATTCCCGATTCCCCAGTACATCGTGAGGATGTCCAGAGCGAGAGCAGAACTCCTGAGTGTCGAGGGCGCGGCGTCTTAATATATTGCGAGGACGTATCACGCGTGAGCTCCATTCCTGGATAGATTGTGAAGAAGTCCCTCGCGAGAGCGCGGTTTTGAGCAAGCCGTGAGGAAGCATCCGGCGGGAGCCGTTGCCGTTGTTCCCCAATCAGTGCTTGCACTGAAGGGATCCTCGCGGATGTTGCTTGAGTTGGCGAACGTGCCTCGCCAGTTTTGGTGGCACGCTGGATTCCCGGGTTCCCGGTTCCAGGTTCCTGGGTTCCCGGGTTCCCGGGTTCTTGGTGGTTGGGTCCGGGCCGATGGTTCACTAAATTCACTACCGATCTCACTGTCGAGCTCATTACAGATCTCATTTCCGGTTCCGGGTTCCCCTGTTCCTGATCATTGTTTCCGGGCCGATGGTTAACTATCGATCTCACCACCAATCTCATTGTTGAGTTCATTACGGATCTCATTCAATGTTCCCCAACCAGTGTTTGCACTGAAGGGGTCCTCGCGGATGTTGAAGGATTTGGCGAAAATGCCCCGCCGATTTTGGTCGCACGCTGGGTTCCCGGGTTCCCGGGGTCCCGGTTCCGGGTTCCCGGGTACCCCGCTTCCCCGTTCCAACCCAATTTCGGAGGGCGGCGAGCTTCCCGGGTTCCCGGGTTTCTGGTCGATTTTCTGATCGATCGGTCTCACCATCGATCTCATTACCGATTTCTCGATCGATCTCACCATCGATCTCATAATCTATCTCACTATCAATATCACAAGCGATCTCACTAGAGATCGCATGAGCGATCTCGCGATCGATCTCACTATCGATCTCAACCGATCTCATTGAATCGATTTCACTCTCGGTCTCACGATCGACCTTACAATCGTCCTCACTATCGATTCCACTATCGATCTCATTATCGACCTCACAATCGATCTCAAGATCCAAAGCATCAATGTTCAATTGATCCACAGACGGGGTTTTCCCAGGTGCAAGTGTATTTCGGAGGCCAGGGGCCCAGCCTGAGCCCCAAGGCTTGCCCCTGTCAAAATCAGGGGGCGACCCCCGCGAAGGACACTTCCCTTAAGAAGAACACAGCGTGCTCCAGAGAGGGCCCCGGGAGGCCTCTGAGGGTCGAAGGCTGGCATCTCTTCCGCTTGCGGAAGGCTGGCGGATGGCCGCGTGAGTCAAATGAGGGCGACTCCGCCGGCGGAAGCCATGCGGAAGTTTTTGGATCCAGGCTTCCGGACCCCGCCATCCCAAGCCTTCCAGGGCCAGGCCCCCGCAACCAGAAAACAAGCCCCAAAAAAGGGGGTTCAAGGGGTGCAAGGGCCTCAAGGTGTTCTACCCTTGTTCCTTACACATATCTCCTCCCTACAGCACCCCCAGAGGTGTCGGTAGGGCCAGCCGGTCGTTTGGCTCTGGACATCTCCACCGTCCATGATCCAGAAGCTTGAGGTTCCCGGTCGGCGAATTTTACGGAGCGCCGCGGGCGTTTTTCGACCAAAAAAGCTGGCAATAGTTACAAGGATGGAGCACAGGGGGTTTTCAAAATGCAGCTTTCGCCTCCGCTCCGAGCAGATTCGTTTTCAAATGTTGCAGTTGCTCCGAGGATGATGGGTGGCTCCTTTGCACAGAGTGGTTCTCGCTTACAGCGCCGCGCTGCGCGCGTTCTGTGTAAAATTGTTCGAGGGATGGAGGGGTTGGTCGTTTCGAAATTGGGCTCTCGCATTCGCGCCTCGCGCATTCATCTTAACCGCCTGTGGCAGGGGGATGGGAAGGGGGGGTGGTTCTCAAAATGGGTCTTTCGCCCTAGCGCCGCACACATTCGCTTTTCAGATTGCTGCAACTGTTGCAAGGATAGACGCGGCTCATTTTCAAAGTGGGGCCCTCGTTTCAGTACCGCGCGCACTCGTTTCAAAATAGCGTAGGAGCCAGAGTGGTGGATCGATCGCAGGCCGTTTTTTGTAATGAGGCTCTCGCCTCAGCCTCGCGCGCATTCGTTTGAAACCATTCGCACTACGTAAAAGGATGAAGACGGTTCTGTTTCCAACGGATGTTATGAATTGGGACATCTTCCATTTACATGTAGCACGGTGCGGATCGAGGGCAGCTCTTTTTCGAAACGGGGTTCGCACCCGAGATTTCCCCGACGTTCATAACCACAGCTCTAAACTTGTACATCATGTGCATGGACGGGGGGGAAGGGGATATCGCCGGACACTTCGGTGAATTGCATGCCCATGTGTCTCGCATTCCTGATCACGTGCTGGAGAGATGCAAGGCAGTTCATTTTCAAAGCGGGGCCCTCGCCAAAATAGCAGGCCCATGTGGCGCTGGTCTCTCAAGTGGGGCATGTCTTGAAGTGAAAAGGGAAGCATGCAGGTACGTATGAGGAGTGGACGTGGGACGCGAGGGTGTACTGCAGCAGCGCAGCTGCATCTTCGGTTTATTCTGGTACTCATCATCATCATCATCATCATCATCCCGCTCTTTGATCCTCCTCCTCCTTCTCCTCCTCCTCCTCCTCCTCCTCCTCCTTTGTCTTCCTACCTCGTCATCTCTCTCCCTCTCTTTCTCTCTCTTTCCTCCCCTCAACCATATTCCCCCCTCCTCCTCCTTCTCGGTCTTCCTCCCTGCTCCTCTCTCTCTCTCTCATTCCTTCCCTCGCCCATTCCCCCCTCCTCCTCCTCCTCCTCCTCCTCCTCCTCCTCCTCCTCCTCCTCCTGTCTCTCTCTCTCTCTCTGCCTCTCTCTGCCTCTCTCTATTTATCTTGGTATGTTTTGTTGTTCTTTCTCTCTCTCTCTCTTTCTCTCCTCCCCTCGCCCATCCCCCCCCCCCTTCGCCGCGTCCGTGGGCACGCAGGTGGAGGAGCTCCGCAGCAGCCTGGAGCAGCGCTACGCGCAGGCCGAGCAGCAGGTTCTGGAGGCCGGCGAAGTGCCCCGGGGGGCGGAGGCGGCCGGAGCCGGCCGAGGAGGAGACCCCTCCCCCCCCATCCCCCTCCCCCTCCCTGCCCCTCCTCCTCCTCCATCTCCTTCTCCCCCTCCTCCTCCTCCCTCCGCCTCCTCCTCCTCTCCTCCTCCTCCTCCTCCTCCTCCTCCCCTCCTCCTCTTCCTCCCCCTCCCCCCTCCCCCTCCCCTCCTCCTCCTCCACCTCCTTCTCCTCCTCTTCCTCCTCCTCCTCCTCTTCCTCCCCCTCCCCCCCCCTCCCCCTCCTCCTCCTCTCCTCCTCCTCCTCCTCTCCTCCTCCTCCTCCTCCTCCTCCTCCTCCTCCCTCCTCCTCCTCCTCCTCCTCCTCCTCCAGGCATTCGGGCGCCCGGTTCAGCGCCCGGTTCATTCGCCATTCGGGCGCCCGTTTGCGCAGGATCTGGAGATTTAGCTCACTCGCTGGATTCGTTGGTTGATCGGCGAACTTGGCAAGGTGAGCGGCGTGCACGGGTAAGAAGTCATTGCGTCCCCCGAACGGCATCTGGATTCGCACCGACTGTTCTACGTCTGGCTGGCGTCGCATCGTGTCCAGTTGAAGGTTGTTCGATTCACTGAGGGCCTTTTGTCGAGTTGGGGTCCCAAGTCGGCCCCGTGCGGGCTTAGAGCCCGACCTGGCCATCGCAGGTGCGCCCAAGAAGTAACATGTCTGGATGTCCACAACGCTTGCCCGCTATCGTTTGTTACTAACGCACGCCGTTCGGGTGTGCTCACTACAGGATCTCTCGAGGGGCACATTCAGGTTACATGAAGAGGGTGGTGTCTGCCGAACTGAGGCGCTTGCTGCATATATCGCCGCCTGCATGCAGTTTTGTGTTGCTCAGTGCATTGAGGGATCCCACGTAGAAGATATCCTTGACACGCGAAGCAGTTGTTCAGAGCCTGTTTGCTTCTGGAAGGGGGCACCTGCCACATCTCTCGTCGCGGGCCTGCAGTTTTGTCTGCTCGGTGCATTGGGGGATCTCTCACAAGGGAGATAGCCTTGCCACACTAAGCAGTTATGCACAGCGCTGCTTTTGTCGGAAGGGGGCGCGTGCCAAATCGATCCTCGCACGCATACACTTTGTCTTGCTCGGGGCATTGAGGCATCTCTCACCGGAGAGATAGCCTTGACACGACGCCCAGCAATTATGCAGAGCGTGGTTTCCAAAATCGAACCAGGCCGCGTGCCAACGAATCAGAAAACATCTGCATACCAGTGGCATGCGTGACCAGGTCCGTACGAAGACGTGAGGGTGCGAGACGCGGGTAGGTTGGTTGCGGAGGTGGAGGTTGGGAGGGCGAGGTTAGCGGAGGGCGTTTGGATGTTGGGATCGACTTGGATGGCTTGAGATGGATTTGGCATGGTCGTGCGGGTTGTTTACACCCAGATATGTTGAGTCAGACACAGGCGGGGAGCACATGTGAAACCGAGAAGCGTTAGTATACATATAACGGCGCACCGGGTCCGGGCGCCCGGGGCCGGCGCCGCTACCAGAAATGTGGGCTCATGGGCACTCGGGGAGCCCTGGGGCCTCACAGAAGGCCGCCAGAAGGCGCCAAGGAGGCCCCAAGAGGCTCCAGAACAGACCCGGGACGCCCGAAGGTCGCTCCCAGACGCCCAACATGGCCTCCAAGGCGGCTTCAGAAGCCCCCAAGACACCCCAAGCGACCCCCAATAGAGCCCCAAAGAGAGCCCCAAGGGGCCAAATAGCCCAATTCCCTTCGTAAAACGTATTTGTTTAACATATTGCTTGTTTTCGCTGTCGGTCCGTGCTTGACGACCTCAGAAGCTCCCACGACCGCCCCAATACGGCCCAGGACGCGCCCCAGAGGGTCCCAATACAGCCCCAGAAAGCTCCAGGACGGCCCACGAAGGCCCCAAGACGGCCCAAGAGAGTCCCCAAGACGGGCCCGAGAGGGCCCCAGAGGAGGAAAGCCACCATCGAATTCCAAGCTTTCGACCCCAAGTGGCTCCAGGAGGCGCCGAGAAGCCCCCAAGAAGCGCCCGGAAGGCTCCCAAAAGCACCCCAAGACGCTCCAAGAGGCACCCCAAGAGAGCTCCAAGAAGCAAGAATCGTCCCATTCCTTTGGGAAAACGTATATTTTTCGTATGTTCGCCTGTTGGGCTGTCATCGCGTCCAAGACGGCCCAAGGGGTTCCCAAGACGGCCTAGGAGGCCCCCAAAAGAGCTCCAAGACGGGCCACGAGAAGCCCAGGACGGCCCAATGGGCCCCAAGACGGCCCAAGAGAGCCCCAAGACGCGCCCGAGAGGAGTCCCAGAGCAAGAAAGCCACTCTCGAATTCCGAGCTTTCGGCCCCAAGAGATCCCAGGAGGCGCCGATACGCCCCCAAGAGGCCCAAGCAGGCCCCCCAAAGCACCCCAAGATGCTCCAAGAGGCACCCCAAGAGAGCCCCAAGAAACGAAAATCCTTCCATTCCTATGGGAAAACGTATATTTGTCGCATGCTCGCCTCTTGGGTTGTCACCGCGTCCAAGACGGCCCAAGAGGCCCCCAAAAACGGCCTAGGAGGCCCCTAAGAAATCTCCAAGACGGCCTACGAGGAACGCAGGACGGCCCAATCGGCCCCCAAGACGGCCCAAGAGAAGCCCAAGAAGCGCCCGAGAGGGGTCCCAGAAGAAGACAGCCACTTTCGATTTCCGAGCTTTCGGTCCCAAGAGCCCCCAGGAGGCGCCGATAGGCCCCCCAGAGGCCCCAAGAGGCCCCCCAAAGCACCCCAAGACGCACCCAGGAGGCCTCCAAGAGGCCCCCAAGAGGCTCATAACTTGGTTCTAATGCGCCGGCGAGAGAGGCATCCAAGATGCCATGCGAACCTTGTCTCTGGGGCCGTAGGTGGATCTTCTTGTGGGCCAAGACCCGTGTCAGGGGTGTGCCGACTCGGGTGGATCGGATGCGAACATTGCCGGGGGCCGTCGGTTGAAGTCCCTGTTCGGCACGACCCGTTCGAGGTGCGAGCCGGAATATGCGGGAGACGAGGAGGACATGCAGAAGGAGAGGAGGGACAGAAGGAGGAGGGATAAGAGGAGGGAAAGGAAGGGGCACTCGACCCCGGAGGTCTCTGGGAGCACTCGGCCCCATCTTCGATATTGATTTCGCGTCGTGGGCTCGTTTCCGAGGGCCCGGGGGCCGGGGGCCGGCGCCACGACCACAAATACGGGGCCAGGGCGTAATTTTCCTTGTGACCTGGGGCCAACAGGGCCCCAAGAGGTTGCAGGGAGGCCCTTGGCTCCAGACGCCTCCCAAGAGGCACCCCGAGAGAGCCCCAATAAGCAAACATCGTCGATTTCCTATGGGAGAACTTATATTTTTGGCGTGTTCGCCTTTTGGGCTTCCACTGCGTCCAAGACGGCCCAAGAGGCACCCAAGCCGGTCGAGGATGCCCCCAAGAAGGCCCCAAGACGACCCACGAGGGGGCCAAGACGGCCCACGAGGCGCCCAAACCGCCCAAGAACACCCCAAGGCGGCGCCCAAGACGGGGACGAGGAACCGGAAATTCGCGCCTTTTGGCCCAAGAGAACCCCAGGAGACCCCAAGAGGCTCCAAGAAGGGGCCCAGAAGCCCCAAGAGGCCCCCATGAGACCCGAAAACACACATCAAAAGAGGCCTCGAAGACGCCCCAAGAGGCACCCCAATAGAGCCCAAATAAGCAAACATCGTCGATTTCCATGGGAGAACTTATATTTTTGGCGTGTTCGCCTTTTGGGCTTCCACTGCGTCCAAGACGGCCCAAGAGGCACCCAAGCCAGTCGAGGATGCCCCCAAGAGGGCTCCAAGACGACCCACGAGGGGGCCAAGATGGCCCCGAGGCGCCCAAACCGCCCAAGAACGCCCCGAGTCGGCGCCCAAGACGGGGACGAGGAACCGAAGATTCGAGCGTTTTGGCCCAAGAGGCCCCCAGGAGACCCCAAGAGGCTCCAAGAAGCGCCCAAGAAGCCCCAACAGGCCCCCAAAAGAACCGCAAAAACATTCAAAGAGGCCCCGAAACAGCCCCGCAATGGGCCCCTCAAAACGGCCCAAGAGAGCCCCAGGGCGCGCCCAAGAGGGTCGACCAGAGAGCTGGTCCGACTTCCCACACTCTACACAAGGTCCGTCCCCGGCGGTGCCTCAAGCAGGTGTTGCCCTGGAGTCCGCACTTGCCTGAGAAACTCCAAACATTTGTTCGCACAGCTTTTCCTGTGTCTGTGACACGCTAGAACCTAAGCGCACGCGAAGCGCGCGTGGTTCTGTATGTCTGTCTGTATGTCTGTCTGTCTGTGTATGTATGTATGTATGTATGTGTGTATGTATGTGTATATATATGTATATGGATAAATACCGCCCCCCCCGGTCCCACCGCCCCCCCGGTCCCACACCTCCCCGCCACATCTCGGGGACGCTCCCGGTACCGCTCCCCCAGCCTTTTCCGGGGAGCCTCCACAGCGCTCCAGGAAGGCCCAAGACGCCCCCCAGGAGCCCCCAGAATGCGAAAGGATGGCCCAAGACGCTCCCAAGCAGCCCAAGTCAGCCTTCCGACGGCTCTCGAGGCTCCCAGGTGGCCTCCAAGAGAGCCCAAGAGAGGTCTGATAGGTGTCACGGGACGGCCCGAAGAGGCCCAAATCGTAGATGTTCATGGTGTTTTTTCAATGTTTTGGGCTTCTCGCGTTTTCGAGCTTCCAGTGTCCAAGAGCGCCGAAGAGCCTCCCAAGACCGCCACAAGACCACCCAAGAGACCCTCAGGACGGCCCCGAGACGGGCCAAGAAGGCTTCAAGACTGCCGAAGAGGCGCCCAGCATAGCCCCAGACCACCCCAGAACAGGCCCAAGATGGGCCCAAGAGCGGGAGCAGGAGGCTTCCAGAGACCTCCGAGAGGCCTCCAGGACCCCCCAGAGGCTCCCAACACCCCCCCCATCCCTGAGAGGCCCCAACGAGACCCCGACGAGGCTCCAAGAACAGCCCGAGATAGC